TTTTTCAACAATTTTTCTAGGAAAATTGTTGTTTTTCTAGGAAATTTGTTGTTTTTCTAGGAAATTTGTTGTTTTTCCAGGAAAATTTTGGAAATCTGTATCCTTACTCCATCCCCTGATTGGAATGAACCAGAGAAAGCAAAGAACAGGAACAAAGAACCACCAGTGAAATGGAAGCTGAGCCCTGCTCAGGCACCTCAGCGTGCATTGAACGCTGCCCAATCTCCCAACCACATCACCTTCAGATTGATGTGATTAATGATAATAACAGCTTTGATAAACAAATGACAGCCTGTCCTGCAAAGGTCAGCCTCCTCTGGAATGAGAAGTGCCTGGCACATCTGGATGAGGAGCAGGGGCAGATCCTGCCCAGCTCTGCTCACACAAAACCTGCCAGCTTCACCCCCAGAGGGACATCAGTGTCCACTTGGAGAGAGGGGAGGGCTTGGAGAGGAGCTTTTGGTGTCTTTGTGGAGGAAAAGCTGAGCTTAAATTCCTGCCTGGACCATCAGGGTGCTGCCCTGCTGGAAAAGCTGTGCCTTGTCCTCCTCCAGCTGTGGAGGGATGCCCTGAGCTGGCTCAAAACCATCCCAGAAGCTCTGGCACTTCCCAAACCCACCAGCCCCCCATCCATGTGTGCATTCCAGAAGGTAAAATGATCCCAGGGCCGAGCTCCAGACACCTGGACCTCCAGAGCTGCTACAAAAACAAAACAAAACAAAAAAAAAATACCCAAACAAGCCTGTATCTCCCAAAGGCTGAGCAGGGTATTAAACCCAACCTGGGCAGCATCACCACACATCAGCCTGGAAAAACTCCCCTTCCAGCACTCCTAGCCCTTGTCCTGGTGCCACTCGGCTCAAACTGGGCTTAAATTTGGCCAGGAAAAGGCAGAGTTGCTCAGCACTGTCCTTGCAGCCAGAAAAAACTCCCATTCCAGCAATCCCAGCTCTTTCCCGGTGCCATTTCACTCCAACTGGGCTTGGATTTAGCCAGGAAAGGGCAGAGTTGCCCAGTCCCATCCCTGCAAACACGAAAAACTCCTCTTCCAGCACTGCCAGCCTTTCTCCTGGTGCCACTCAGCTCAAACTGGGGTTGGACTTGGCCAGGAAAGGGCAAAGTTGCTCAGTCCTGTCCCTGAAACTAGGAAAAACGGCCCTTCCAGCACTCCTAGCCCTTCTCCTGGTGCCATTTCACTCCAACTGGGCTTGGATTTGGCCAGGAAAGGGCAGAGTTGCTCAGCACTGTCCTTGCAGCCAGGAAAAACTCCCGTTCCAGCAATCCCAGCCTTTCTCCTGGTGCCATTTGACTCCACCTGGGCTAGGATTTGGCTAGGAAAGAGGAAAGTTGCTCAGTCCCATCCCTGCAACCAGCAAAAACTCCCCTTCCAGCAATCCCAGCCCTTCTCCTGCTGCCACTCAGCTCAAACTGGGCTCAGATTAGTCTAGGAAAGGGCAGAATTGCTCAGTCCCATCCCTGCAACCAGGAAAAAATGCCCTTCCAACAATCCCAGCCCTTCTCCTGGTGCCATTTGACTCCAACTGGGCTTGGATTTAGCCAGGAAGGGGCAAAGTTGCCCCAGTCCCATCCCTGCAGCCAGGAAAAACTGCCCTTCCAACAATCCCAGCCCTTCTCCTGGTGCCCCTCAGCTCAAACTGAGCTCAAATTAGTCCAGGAAAGGGCAGAGTTGCCCCAGTCCCATCCCTGCAACCAGGAAAAACTGCCCTTCCAGCACTGCCAGCCCTTTTCCTAGTGCCATTTCACTCCAGCTGGGCTTGGATTAGTCCAAGAAAGGGCAGAGTTGCCCCAGTCCCATCCCTGCAAACACGAAAAACTGCCCTTCCAACAATCCCAGTCCTTCTCCTGGTGCTATTTGACTCCAGATGGGCTTGGATTAGTCCAAGAAAGGGCAGAGTTGCCCCTGTCCCATCCCTGCAAACAGGAAAAACTCCCCTTCCAGCAATCCCAGCCCTTCCCCTGGTGCCCCTCAGCTCAAACTGGGCTCGGATTAGTCCAGGAAAGGGCAAAGTTGCCCCAGTCCCATCCCTGCAACCAGCAAAAACTCCCCTTCCAGCACTGCCAGCCCTTTGTCCTGATGCTGCTCAGCTCAAACTGAGCTTGGATTAGTCCAGGAAAGGGCAGAGTTGCCCCAGTCCCATCCCTCCGTGCTCTGGCCACACTCCCAGCCCATCAGATGTCCCTGAGCAGGCTGCCAGCAGCCAAGGTGAAAGTTGTTGAGGCTGCCTTTGCATTTCCCTGGCTATAAACAGGAAACAGGCAGCGTTGGACTCGCTGGATGGAAAAGCCAAACCAGATGGGCAAGGCTGAAGATGCTGCTTTTTTTCCATCCCCACCCTTTTCCCTCTCATTCACATACAAATTACTGTTGCATCCAGGTGGGAGGAGAGTTTGAGCAGGGGAGGGGAGGAGGAGAAGGGGGGGATGTGAAATGTTTGCCAAATAGGCTGAGGGATSAGAGGGAGCTTTCTCATAAAGCACAGGGCTGACCCACAAACTGCTCCCAAACCTCAAACCCCGGCAGAGCTTCCCTCCTCCCCGTTTGTAGGGCCCAGCAGGGAATGGGGAGAAGGAAAGGGGTCTAACCAGGTCACTCCACCCTTCCCTCGCTGCCTGGAGCACAATTTGGCAGGCAGGGAGGGAGGGAAGCAGACCTGAAATGTAGGCCATCTACAAAGGCTGGGGGAGAGGCTTCCACGGGGTGAGATTTATGATCTTCAAAGTGATTAGAGCCCAGCACTCCAAATAAAGGCAAAGAGAGCTCCTGCAGTCGGTTTGGAGTTGGGTTTCAAACCATCCCTGCCCTGGCTTCGGTTTGAAAACTTGAATTGCAAGCTAACGAAAAGGGAAAAAAAAAAAATAATAAAAAAAAGCCACCCAAAACCAACCTCAAACCCCAAACCAAATTAAAAAACCCACCAACCTCCACCCCTAATGAAAGAGCTCAGCACCTGATTTTACATGAAAACACTTTGATATTTCCAGCTCTCCTCTCTTCCTTTTTCCTCGTCATTTGAAATCTATTTGCTGAACTGAGGATGGATTYACCGACGGCTGAGGTCAACCCTGARCGTGAGTGTGGAGCCCGTGTGTGCTAGAGCTCCTGCTCATTTAGGAGAATAATTTAAAATAATAATTATTCTTTTAAATAACAATACTTTCAAATAATAATAATAATTATTATTTTAAATAATAACGATTTAAAATAACTCTTCCCGTGGCCTGGAGAGGGCCAAGAGAGGGAGACAAAGAGCCACGTGCACAGATCTGTGTCCACTCRGGGACTGTTGCATCCCCATCCCTGACATCCCTGCACACCCCTCTGGGGTTTTAGGAATAAAATAAAACAATAAAATGAGCTTTTTCACAACCTTTTGCTTTTTAAACCTTGCTAAATCCCCAGCCAGGCTTGCTACTCATTTACACAGACGAGCCGAAATAAATGAATCGGATTTTGCAGCGGTAGGAGGAGGAAAATAAAAGCGGAAACGCCGCAAAGAAATAAAACATAAAACCACATTTTGTTTTTAAGAGAAAAAAAGAACTGCAGCATCTTACTGCCTGCAAGGCTGGTTGCTCATAGAGCATCCTGAGGAGCTCAGGGGATGGTGGGTGTAAATCAGCACTGCTCCACCTCTGTGCCATTGCCACAGGAGAAGTTTGCAGCCACAATCCCGTGCTCGTTCCCTTCCTGCAGGGAATTTCCTTTGATCACCCCTCGTGAGCAGATCGGATTGTGCTCCTGGCCTGGGCTCTGCTGGAGCTGGAGACACAGGGCTTTTTGTTTTTCCAGAATCCTGGAAGATGGCTGAGCGTGTTTGGACACCTTTGGTGGGAAGGTGAGACCCACCCAGAGCCCCAGCAGCCAAAGCAAACAAACAAACAGCACCAGGGCTGACATTTGTCAAGGCAAGGAGCCACCAGGGGAATCTGGAAGGACCAGGAGCAGTTGAGAGCAAGCTCTGGAAAGGGCTGGAACCCTCGGATTTGGGGAACTGGAAGGGGGAAGGGCTGTGCCAACATCTGCCCCGAGTCTGCCCATGGGCTTACAGGCCCTTCTGCCTCCCAGCCCCTGGAATCCTCCAGCAGGGCAGTGTTTGGCTCTCCAGGCTCCTCTTTGCCTTTCTGACTCCGGCTCTGATGGCCACARGAATCCTCAGCTCTGGCCTCAGAGAGGATTTTCCTAAAATCCCAGAATGGCCTGGGCTGGAAGGAGCATTAAAACCCATCTCATTCCATGGGAAGGGACGCCCTCCTTGGTGCTCCAGCCTGGCCTGGGACACTCCCAGGGGTGCAGGGGCAGCCTCAGCCCCTCCTCTGGKCACCCTGTAGAGCTCTGTGTCTGCACAGAACCAGGAATTGTCACCTCCTGAGGGGACACTCAGGGAGGGATTTCTTGCAGCCCCCCAGGGAATTTTCAGGCACTCAGAAATCCTGGGGACGCTCTCAGCTGCTCAAAGCAGGAGGAGAGGAGCACCCAAAGCAGGGACAAGGGTTCCTCATCTCATCTGCAATTGGGGTTTGCTCCCTCATATTTTTATCTGCTCTCCCTTTCCCTGCTGCCTCGCAGGAAGGGATTGAACCTGAACACTCCAAGACCTCAAAGCACCATCCTCAGTGACACTGACACCCCTGAGCCTTCATCCCTGCACCCCACAGCGCTGGCAGTGCCCATTTCCACCATCACCGAGGAGCTTTGTGTTTCTAAATCACGACAGAAAAATCCTAAAAAGCCAGGAAACCCCTCCAGCAAATGGTCATTTAAAGAAACTCTGTAATTAGCTGAACTTGTATGAATTAGGAAGAGGGAAACCAGAGGTGTAATCTGTCCTTCTCTCCCACAAGGGGAACTGGGAAGAGTTTTTGTGGTCTGGTTAATGGCAGCTTCTGCCCCGAACAGTTTTTATCAGTTTTTATGAGCAATTAAAAAACAGCCATTSCAGAGAGGAGGAGAACACCTGGGAAGCCAGGGAGCATCTTACCTGCCTGTTAAAGTCCAGCCCATTCTGTTCATTCCCTGCAAGGAAACAAAGAGAAAAAATACTTCAGTATAAACCACAGCCAGCCTTGGTGGGAGATTTCCAGAACTTGGAAAACTTGGAAGCCACATAAATAAAAAAATGGGTCCTGGGCGAGCCAGKAGAGGAGGAGGAAAGTGCAAAAATTGAAGGATGAAGGCAAATCCTGCAGTTTTGGGGTGGTACCAGCGTTTTGCTGAGGGGGAACAGGAGATACCTGGCCAAGGGTGGGGGAAATCTGGCAGAGCGCAAGGGAGATTCCAGCAGGGGTGAGCTGGAGGACATCACAGATGTGCAGGGGAATGCAGGGCGGGCTGTGGGGAAGGCCAGCGAGCAGGTGGCCAGGGCTGCTGAGCCGGGTCCTTGAGGAACCCGCGCTGCTCGGGGTAATTATGGGATATCTGCAGGAACACAGGGTGCCGTGGGGTTGTGCTCCAGAGGCGTCTCCTTGATTCCAGCAGAGATTGGCAGGCGCAGGGGGAAAATCAGACAGGTTCCAGCCTGAAGGTACCGCACAGGCCCTCACTCATTCCCCTTTGATGATAAACATCCCCCCCCTCTCCATCACACCTGCCAAATTCATCGGGAACATCACAGAGCAAAGGTTGCGCTCTCCGCGCATCTGAGCGCTTTAAGGGATTCCACGAAGCTCCCGAGCTGCAAAGGCAACCCCAAAAAAAACCCCTTCCCCTCTGCAGCACATCCCCAGAGCTGTTCCCTGCCTGGGACCCTTCACATCCCTCCATCCCCAGCCCCAGGGTCTCCTCCTCCTCCCCTCCTCCTCCTCCTCCTCCTCCTCCTCCTCCTCGCGGTGTTTTCTCCAGGATAACGTTCCCCACCAAGCACAGCCCGTGCCCTGGGATCTGATCAAGCTCCAACACATCGTGTTTGCAGCAGCTCAGGGCTCCTGCAAAGTGCTGGGAAGAGCCTGGGAGAGGCTGGGTGGGCAGGAGGGCAGATCCAGCTCTGCCATGGGCTTTCCTCAACTCAACAAACCCTTTCCCTACTCCAGCACTCATTTTCCGTGCACAGAGCATTCCCAGGAGAATCAGAGCGGGTCCTGAGGGGGAGCGGGCTCAGCACAATTATCCATGGATGGCAAAACATTGCAGAGTCGGGGATAACAGAGCTCTCTGTGGCTGCTCTCTGCTGTCTAAAAACAGTTCTGGGGATTTCATCTGTGACATTTAAAATGCACCGACTGTGGAGATGGAGCTGTGGGACTGCGCTGTGTCCCTGTGCAGTGTCACTGCTGCTGCCCCCTCAGCTGGAAATCTCCTGTGTCTCGTCACCCTCTGCATCCCAACCAGCCCTGAGCTGTCCCCAGCTCTGAAATCTCCTCTATCTCCTCACTCTCTGCACCCCAACCAGCTCTGAGCTGTCACCAACTCTGAAACCTCCTCCATCTCATCACCCTCTGCATCTCAAACAGCCCTGAGCTGCCTCAATTGGAGATCTCCTCACCATCCACACCCCAACCAACCCTGAGCTGTCCCCAGCTCTGAAATCTCCTCTATCTCCTCACCCTGTGCATCCCAACCATCTCTGACCTGTCCCTAACTCTGAAATCTCCTGTCAACTCACCCTCTGCACCCCAACCAGCCCTAAGCTGCCCCCTCAATTAGAGATCTCCTCTATTTCTTCATCATCCGCACCCCAACCATCTCTGACCTGTCCCTAACTCTGAAATATCCTGTCAACTCACCATTTGCACCCCAACAAGCCCTGAGCTGTCTCCAACTCTGAAATCTCCTCCATCTCCTCACCCTCTGCACCCCAACCCACTCTGAGCCCTCTCCCCATCCTGGCTGCCCTTCCTGCCTTCCTCCACCTTTCTCCCACCCCAATCCCATCCCTTTATCTCCTTTCCCCATGTGATTCCCCSCTCTGCTCCCTGTCCAGCCCTCTCCAGCTGTTCCTGTCCCAGCAATGGGGTTCATTCATTGCGTTCCAGCCCCAAAAGCCACGGAGGGCACACGCAGCGATGGGAATGCTGATTGCYTTAATGGATGATCACAATCAGCATCCCCACACCTGAGCAGGACCTCGTGAGCATCTTCAAGGCCTGCAGTTTCCACCTCTGAAAGCCCCACGGGGTTTGTGTGTGGGGAGAGGGGGTTGATTTGATGCGATCTGGAGGCAGCAGCTGAAGGGAAGCAAAGCCAGGAGGGAAGGAGGAAATGAAAGTTCCCAGCTGCTAAAATAGAACAGGAAGGAAAAGGTAATCTCCTGGTTTCTTGGAGCCTCGCTCACGTTCAGCGTGGTGGTGATGAGGCAAGAGGCAAAGAGCTCGAGGGGAATCCCTGGGTCCCGGTGACGGCGGCTGAGTCACCCCAAAACTTGGAACCCGAGAGGCGCAGCTGGAGCTGAGCTTTCCTGCACAGCCCCAAATCCTCCAGCACAGCCTTCTCCTCCTCTTCCCTGCTCCCCATCCCTCCTTTGCCCTCCTTCCACGTGCAGCTGACACTTTGGATTATTTGCTTTGTCCTTTTCTCTCTACCAGGTCAGACACAGCATCCCCCCAGCCCCCACAGATTATTGGGGGGATTTGGGAACATTCCAGCCCGGAATTCGGTGCCAGCTGAGCACGCTGCAAACATTCCCAGAGCCTGGCACTGAGTGGGGTGTCGGAGTCRGAGGGAACTGCCCCGAGCAGTCTGGGCAGGCAGGAGGAGCAGGAGGAGCTCCAGAGGCCATTCCTGCCCCTATCTSATCTCATCTGATCTCATCTCATCTCGCTGGGATGAGTGGCCCTCTGGAGATGGCTGCTCCTCTCCACCGCCTCCAAAGGCACCCAGGGGCGACCAGTCCAGCCTCAGATGTCCAAGAGGGAGACATTTAAAACGGGGAGGGGTGATTTCTGCTCCCAGTGGTTATGTAAATGGGAGCTGGATACACAAATCTCCGCAGGACCAACCAGTGCTTGGGCACAGATTTATTTGCAAACAAATCTGGCCTCTTTCCTTTTTTTTTTTTTTTTTTTTTTCTTTTAAACGTAAAATTCAAGCAATTCCAGCTGCGAGCCAAGGTTTGGGTGTGATAGGGATAACGTCTCTCCTCTTTCAGTTGGATCTGTAACTTTCCTACAAATAACTTTATAAAAATAGCCTCAGCTTTCCTCCCGGTTTCTGTCAACATCACGACTCGCACTGCAGTAGTCATTCCTCTCCTTAAAGGAATGAGCTGTTCAAACAATCTGCACTTAAGATTTAATCTTTTCTAGCTCCAGGAGATGAAAAGAAAGAAAAGTGTAAGTGGCAGCAGATTCTCTCTCCTGCTGCAAACTGCCAGAACTCCGCTCATTTTAACGGAGCTTCAGCCCAGCCAAAAACTCGATTTTTGCTGCACGAGCCAGACACGACGGGATCCAGAACCTCCAGAATCTCCTGGATCAGTCCTCTCCTCCCTTAAATTCCACCAGGCTGGGGAAGCCCTGAGATTTAAATGGGGAAAGGCTGTTTGGAGCCCCTAAAGCTCGCAGGAGCTCACCCATCAACGTCACCCCAGCGATAAGCCCGGCTGGCTGGMTGAGCCCGGCAGCCCAGGGTTGTGCTGCTCCCCTCGCTTCACCTGGCAGCTGTTTTGCATAGCCCTGGCATCAGATCTGGTGCGAGTTTGCCTGGGGAGGTTTCTCTGGGGATGGGAGCAGCGCAGCAGTTGCGGGCAGTTCCCCCCTCCTCCAGCAGCCGCTGGAGAAGCCGAGGTGAGGGATCCATCGAGAGCGGAGCTGCAGAGCCAGTCCAGCTCTCCAGGATAAAAGCATCCCCTTAATGGGGGAAAAGGAAAATCAGGGTGGCAGCGAAGCCTTCATCTTCACACGGGCAGCTGTCACCTCTGGGGTGTGACAGCCTTCCCACGTGATGCCTCAGGATTTCAGTTTCTCTATTTCCATGTCTCTGTACCCCTGGGATTCTCCAGTGTTTAACTCCAGACTCCACAGACAGTGCTGAGCTCCTGCTCTCCCATTTTCACACAAAACAATTTCTCTGCAGCCCCAAACTCAAGGACACCTCCCTGGGCCAGGCCCCAAGAGATGGAAACAACAGAGAATTGGGGGAGCCAAGTTGGAGTTTTTGACTGCATTGGCTGCAGCTGCAATTGGAGGATTCAGGCCCGATTTTGTGCAAATGGACAAAAGTGAGAAAGGGTGAAAAAGCCGTGAGCCATTGTCCATTGTGGGTGTGGGACTGCCCTGRATGGCCCTGAAGGCYCTGCAATAACAGAACTGCTTTGGATTCTCTCAGTTCTGCCTGACCCCTGTTCTAGGTGAGCTGATTTGGGCATCCCAGACAGCTCCACACCGAGCTCACCCCACGSTCTGAAGGGAGCAGGGGATCAGGGGGTGATCCCAGCCTTCAGCAGGTGTCAGAGAATTCCTACAGGGAATCAGCTCACTGCACATTTGGGAGAGAAATGGGGAACGGGGCTGGGCAGACACCGGGCAGGGGCTTCACTGCCTGGGCTCAGATGTCTCTGAAGTTTCCAGGTATCTCTGAAGTTTCCAGATATCTCTGAAGTTTTCAGGTGTCTCTGAACTTTTCAGGTGTCTCTGAAGTTTTCAGGTGCCTCTCCAGGAGCCAATTGCTCCAGGCTCCCTTTCCAGCCGTGCAGAGGAAGCAGGAGCTTCCAGAGGGCAATTCCTCTGGCCCCAATTCCCCTCGCCCCCGAGAGTGACGGCACAAGGGATGAATCAACCCCTGGAGATCCCRATTTCCATCAGGGACTGCCTGCGGTGAGCAGCTCAGGCTGCAGCCTCCGAGGATCCAATATCTAAAATTCAGATGAATCGCACCTATCCTGGAGATTTTAGCACTCCTGGCTGATGGAGCACAACGCCACGGGAGATTGGCAGAGCAGGCCGGGTTCTGAGTGCCTTTGGAGGGGTTAGGATTAGGGTTAGATTAGGGATAGGGTTAGGGTTAGGATTAGGAGCATTTCTGATAAATTTTGAGAAGCATTTCTGATAAATTCACTCACTCAGATCTCTCCCCTCAAACAA